CATTTTTGATCTGATCAGGCCTTCAATCCGATTATTTGTGTCCATGTAAATAAACGTAGCTATTGTTTCATCCTTTTGCCACATTTCAGGCTTCGAACATAAAAATATAAAATTGTATTTTTTGTGAAGAATCAACAAATGCGACAGAATCATGAAATGGAATGAAATTTATTGGATATTTTCAACGTTTTAAATAAGATGTGGAGGATTGTGTGCCTGACGTTGATGTCTGTGGATGGCGTAGAAGATGCATACATATTTAGATGTTTAATAACAGGATTTCTACTGTTTGGAGTTGGTGCATACCTGGCATATCGTGCATTGGGAAGATGTCGGGGCTGTTTTGGCCGTTGTCAGGCTGACCGGCATGGATGATGGGATCTGCAGAGCTATCTGCAGAACTGTAACATCTGTAGACGACATTGACCCAAGGCTTCATGGACTTACTTTGCAAACACACTGATGCTCAGATATGATTCACCTCTCATCCCTCTCATTTTTCATCCCACCTGCAAGATCTCATGTTGCATCTGTATTTGCTGATGTGCTGTAGTTTTTTTTTTTTGCTGTCTCAAACTGTATCCTGCTGAGGATAAAGGGTGAAACATGATTTTTTTTTCCTCCCCTGACTTATTGTGATCCTTTCTTTTGTTTTTCTTACTGTAAGGCCAGCACCTTTTATGTCAGCAAGGCCTCGGACACCCTGTCTGCCCATTTATAATATCTTTGTAATGTCTTTCTGTGTTTGTTTGTCTTGTTGGACAGGCTGAACCCGAACTGAATTCCCCTTCAGGGATTAATAAAGTATAATTGAATTGAATTGAAATAGATTTCCCAGCTTTAAACATCCCAAGGAGCTCTGAGCAGAGATGATACTGGAATGGAGGTAGAATCAAACCACTGGGAATCTATAAAGACCCGCTGTTCCTCTGAACCTTCAGACTGATCAGAGATGCAGCCCAGAGGATCATGATCCCTCTGGATGAACTTCAGAGATCTACAGCTGAAGATAGAGACTCTGTCCATGGGACAGCAATCAGTCTATGCTGCAAACATCCGATCTTTATGGAAGAAAGCTCTTTCTGAAAGATATCCATAAAAAGGTTTAAAGTTTCCTACCAGCCTCCTGGAAGACACAGCAAACATGTGGAGGAAGGAGCTCTGCTCAGATGGAACCAACGTCCTAATTATGGCAACAAAGCAACACAGTTCATCACTTGAGCAGGGATGATGGTTCAAACTGATGGGAAGATCCTGTGTAGTCTGCAGACCTGAGAATGGGACAGAGATTTATCTTGATCCAAAACATGAAGCAGCATCTAGAATGGAACGTCTCATACAGAAACACATCCAGGTGTTACAATGGCCTAGTCAAAGTCCAGACCTGAAAACTGCTCTTCGCAAACGCTGGGCATCCAACTTCACTGAGCTCCAGCTGATTGCAGGAAGAACTCTGATAGAGACAAACCCCAAAGGACCTGCGGCTGGAATCACAGCAGAAGGTGGCGCCAGAGAGTATTAAATCAAGGGGGAGGAAGAAGTTGCAAGTGTCTAAATTAAAAGGAAGCTTTGTTCCTTGCAGTCTGCTGTGTCTCAAACTAACCGTTCCCAGCTTCTGCACAGATATTTTTCCTGTTAAGAAACTCTGCTAAATTTCTGCAAGGTCATCTTACACCCTTGTGACCTTCAACAAATATACTGCTTGCTTTAAAAGAAAGAGATAAGTTGAACGCACAATTTTGCCTTCACAAAGTCTACACTGCAAATATTTCAGTATTTTTATTTGTTAAAATTTTTTTTCAAATATCCAGTAAATTTAGTTCTATTTCATGATTGTGTCCCACTGGTTGGTTATTCTTCAATCTTTATGTTTGAAGCCTGAAAGGTGGCAAAAGGTCGAAAAGTTCAAGGGGGAGGGGGGGGAGAATACTTTAGCAAGGCACTGTATGTGGTTTGGTGGCTGAGGAGTTGAATTTTCCAATACTTTTCCAAAACTTTTGGTTATAACTCCCCACATCATCATTATTGATGTAGAAATGAAAAATAAATGGTTCTCCATGAAAACTGCTAAAGAAGCCAACTGAGCCAAAATGGCCACTTTGGACACCTGGCCTGGACCTCCAGTTAAAAACATCTCATTGTCTTTCCAGCTTTTTAGAAGGGTTAGAGGCTGTCTATCATATGCTTAAAGGAATAGTACACCCAAAACATGATTAGCCTTCATTTTCTACTCACCCCCATGCTGAACAAC